ATTGTATATCGGTAATATAATTTTAATATATTTTATATATATCAAAATAGCATGAAATTTGGAGTGTAGACTCTTCTTATCAAGGCGCACCTAATACAAATATTAAAAAACTAATTCACATAAATAAATTGATCAAAATACCCTCAGAATTTTTTAGAGGTATTTTCATTAAGTTAATTTATGCAAATTATTTTTTTGATATTTTTATTATATTCTAGTTTTCTTGAAGAACTGATGTTCCAAATTTCAAGTAATTTGGGTATGTACAAAAAAAATTAAAATTTAATTACGAAATACAATTGTGATCATTGGATCAGTCCATATTCAATCTGAGCCGTTGGGCTTACACTGTTCCATGAGCCCATGGGCTGACAGGAGCTTTTTCCATATGGGAAAAGATGTCGTACACCCAGGCATATTGTTACAGTAAACGCCCACGGCCCAGATTGAATCTGGGCTGATTTGATGCTCACGGATGTTCAATAGTGTTTGAATTTTAATATTTTTTCTACAAATCCAAATCACTTGAAATTTTAGACGTGTGTTCTTCTCATCAAAGAATACCTAATAAAAATATAAAAATAATAATTCATAGAACAAATTGACCAAAATATCCCTTGAAAATTTTCTATATCAATTCAGCGATTTGTTTGCACCCGAAACCATGGTGGGAGTAAAATCCCCTACCTGCAATTTCGAGTATAAACAAACATCCAAAGTCAATCAACTTGAGAGACATCTCAATGCTCTAAGTCAGTTAGAATAGTCCTAAGGGCTTGTACCTCAGAAACCTTATGATATCAGAGGTCTCGATCAAAGTGGATTAAGGATGGGGACAACACTACCAAATACTTTCTTGTCATCATAAATTCTAGAAAGAGAACTAACAACTTGGATGGCATCACTATCCTTGGTATCAATGAAGGAGACTGTAAGGTTAGGGAGTCTAACATTGTTGAGTTCTTTGAGAAAGTATTTTCTTCTCAGTCAAGACTTCTTTTTTCAATGGAAGACCTTCCTTTTATTTAAACAGGTAGAACTCAGAATTCAATCCCAGTTGGAGATGCCTTTCACGATGGAAGAACTTAGAGAAACTGTTTTTTTTTTTTTCTAAAGATAAGGCCCCAGGTCCTGATGGATTTTAGGTGGCCTTCTTCCATCCAAGAGTTCTAGGACATAATGAAGGAAGACCTAAAAAATTTCTTTGATGAATTCTACAATGATGTCACGGTTATTAAAGCCCTGAACTCCACATTTATTGCCCTTGTGCCTAAGAAGAATTAGATTGAATCCCTCCAAGACATTAGGCCTATCAGTCTTCTAACTTCGGTGTACAAAATCTTAGCTAAAGTCCTTGCCAATGGATTGAAGAAACTCATTACCATGGTT